CAGTGGTACCCCTGGGTGAGGCTGTGCCTGCGGAGTCGGGGGGCTAGGAGGAGGCGTCGGGCTGGAGGGGGGGGGTATCACGACCCCTGAGGGATCATACCAAAGCTCAGCCCTGCCCCGGGGGTTCATTTTCCCAGGGGGGCCCTTAGGGGCAGGGGCCGCCTCAGCCTGTGCTGGGGAGAGGAGAGCCTGGGCCGGGGGTGCTGAATGGGGTTTTGCCCCATTCTCCCCATGAAGCTGGGGGAGCTGGCTGTGGTTGGGAAGAGGGGGAAGGAGCAGGGGCTGGGGTCGGTGGGAACAGCGCTGGGGAAGAGGGGAAGGCACTTGCTGCCATGTCCCAGTTATCTGTAACTCTTCTTCCCCATTGCCTGCACGTGGCGTTCAAAAAGTGCCCGCTAACCCTGGCATCTCCCCTGCGTCTCCTGGTGTTTGCCTGCAGCCCTCATCAGCTCTTGGTGCTGGTGTTGCTGATTCAGGTCATTTGGCCCATGCGAGTGGGTGCTGTGTGGCCAGCGCAGTGGGACAGCGGACATGGCATGGGGGAGAGGAGCAAGTTGTCGCTTGTCTAATCTGCTGTGGCAGGATCAAAGTCTTTCTAAATTGATAACAAGTGAAAGGTGTTGCTAGTATAGTGGGAATAACTTAACCAGGAGACTCTGAACGCATCTATAGGTGAGTCTTCCTTTAGAGGATTTATTTTTAAGAGGTTAGAGTTCCTCGGGTTGTTTGGTTTTACTGAAAATGAAACTTGGGTCTTTAGAGCCTTGGTTGTAAACAGCATCAGGTTCTTTGTGATTTGAGTTAGTTTTGCTGGCTGATTCCTCATTTTGAGTTAATGGTTTAGCTCTTTTGTGGCTGGGAGAGCACATAGTCATTGTTGACAGGAATATTGTGTGTGCAAATGTAACACTGCGTTTCTGTGCCAAGGAAAAAAATATTTTGGTAATAGGACATTGACCTCAACAAAAATAATCAAAGAAAACCCATTTACTCTTGCTTTAAAAGAGAGCCAATCCTTAGGAGTGGGGGTCACAGATGTACCTTTATAAGAAAGGAGCTGGGGGAAATCAGCCCAGGTCCTGGTGTCGGTGGTTTGCTTCCACCAGTGGTAACAGGTGAACTGGGAAGCTCAAAATTTAGGCTTCAGAAGGACTCTTAACCTGTTCTGGTGCAAGCCGAGGTATGCTGACAGGATGAAGTTCACCTGCGCGGTGCCTGTTCCTTACCTAATGATAGACAGCCTTGTGCTCCCAAGTGATGTGCCAGCCCACAAATTAGCTTAATGGTGCTGAAGGACTGAGGTGGCAGAAACAGGGAGGTGGTCGCAGCGGGAAGAGATTGACTCTTTATGGGGTCAGAATTATTAGCAGAAAGTCTTCCTCTCCTGTGCCTCTCTGTGTGGTGCCTGGTGTAGTGAGGCCCTGACCATGGCTTGTGCTCCTTGGCCCTGCTGTCATGTAATTGGACAATGTGTTGTTTTAAGGCATTTGCTGTAATTTATTTCTGCTGTAATTCTGCCACACCATTGTTTGCCAAAGAGCTTTTTGAACTGGTTGATGTCTGGTTATGGAAAGGAATTAGTAGTCTGAGCTACTGTTTCCTTTCTCTAATGACCAGCTCTCCCCCTTCATCCAGTAATGCATCCTTGTGCGTGCTCTGCTTTGCAGGTTGTTGGAATAGATATTTTTTACCTCTGCTGTAATTCTACCTGCTGCCAGACTATGACAAAGAGCAGAACAGTTGATGCAAGCACTAAAATGGAGCCACACAGAATTGAAACAATAACCATGCAGCTGAATTTCCTACTTCTGATACCCTCGTTAGACATGAAAGGTGTTTCACCTGCTCTGTGGAAGATGTCTTGCAATTAAATTGTCTTTCAATTTAGAAAGCACTCTCCCTTTTGAAATTCATGTTTTCTGTACTTGAAAAATGGCAAAGGAAGACTGAAAGATGAGGAAATTGTAAATAACCGTTAATACATCTGTAATCCAATAAGCTGGTTAAATCTGCACACCGGCAGCTTTTCTGCAGGGAGAAATGGAGTGACTCACAGAACATACCAAGGTCTTATTTTATTAAGAATTAAGAAACAAAACCTATTGATTTATACTTGGCAACTGTTAAGTAAACAAGAGCAAAAGTTGCTTTGTTTTATTATGCTCAGTGCTGTGTGTGAATGCACGAAAATAATCTCCTGAGGCAGCTGGCTTTCAGGGTAAAGCTATTGAGTCTGCAAGCTTCAAAACTGTTTGATACCATCTGTTGTATAAATGGAAGCTAATGGTCTCTCGCTGCTTTAAAAAAAAGTTAAATCGAAAAGTTACCTAAGTGTTTATTACAAATTACTGGGGTATTATAAGACACTTTCATTATGTATGCTAGGACATTCTGACTTCAGAGTGAATTAGGGGCTTTCCTGCGTGGACCCGACTCTGAATCAATCTGTTCTGTATTAACTGGTGTGCTTCAAATGTATCTTTGTTGGGAACTCCCAACAAGAGTCAGCTTCCACCTGGATAGAATTAAAACTTCAGGGCTCTTCTGTAAATTAAGCCTCAGATTGTCTGGTGTTCCCCATGGGCTTTGGGACTCCCTGGGTCAGTAATACCAAGATGGAAGAACATGGGCTGAATACTTAGGCAGTATGGTCATTAAATAATGTAAGTCTGTTGTCTGAACTGCCGAGTCAATTGTATGAATATTTATTAGATATACATTTGGAGTGCTTTATAAATTAAAAACAAACTGAAAACGTGCTTTAGCTCTTTAACCCACTTAAAACCTGCAGCACAGTTGTCTTTCTCTACAACTGTTGCATGGGAATGCTGTTACAAAAGCATTATCATTTCATAATTAGGCCAGTACAGTAAAGCAGTCAGGTGACTGCCTCTTGGGAGAATAATTAAATGGTTTGTGATGAAAACTGAGGATAAGTAAACTTGGCATGAGTCAGAGGGATTACAATTGACTGATAAGAGCAAACTCACCCTGCAAGCGCTTTATGTACATGGTGCAGCTTTTGTGCTGCCTATGGTAAAGCTGTTGTATTAATTTCTAACTTTGTGTCTCTCTCTCTTTTTTTTTTTTTTCAGGCTGACTTAAACTGGGTTTTTTCTAAACATCATGGGAGAGATTAAAGTCTCTCCTGACTATAACTGGTTCAGAAGCACGGTTCCTCTTAAAAAGGTACGTGTGGGTGAAATGTCTGCTCTTGCTTTGTAGTGGGGCGGGAGTAAGCTGTTTAGTTGGTTAATGGAGAGCAGTTGTGGCTGTGCTAGTGACCCGGCTTATCTTCTGAACTGTTGTCCCATGTGTCACATGAGTGTGGGAAAGCCTGCTTTTAATTTTCATGTGCTTCTTGGAGGTCACTTCCATGTGTGGTGGCGGGGAGCAGAGGCTCGCAGGTGTGAGGCACAGCAGCAGTACTTGGTGTCTTGATGCCAGCCAGGCCTGAGGAGGAGACTCCAAGGAAATAGTGCATGCTGGGGATCATGTGTGTGGCCTGGCACGGAGCTGCCTGCGTGCACGGTGGCTGTGCTGCCAGAGCCACCTCTGCTGTTTCTACCCATCAGCCTCAGGCTGAAGCAGGGTGTCTGAAGGCAACTTCTTAGCAGTCAGGCTGCACGCAGTGTTCCCGAGAGTGGAAAGATGCCTTAACCACAGTGGAAAAACCCAAATGGTTTCTTCCGCTGCGTGTCCTTTAGATATCTTCTGTTTAATCACGCTGTCCAACCGCTTTCTCCTCTTGCTTGGATTTCTCCACTTCCTTTCACTGAACCACAGGAGAGCATTTGAGGTGTGCAGTGCTCCAACTTCTGCTCTCTACATGCCAAGTGGCAGAGGGCACGGAGTGCAGTACTGGTACATAGCTCCTGACCTGGACTAGCTCTCGCATGTACCTTTGCAGCTGAGGCTTGCTGGGGCTGTGCTTACAGCCTAACCTGCAGCAGCAGCCCAGACTCCTGCCAGACCAAAGGACAGCCTTGCCCCTGCAGCCCAGCCTGCTGCTCCGGCAAGCACAGTTGCTCCTGTAACTATACAAGCTGAGCAGAGTCAGTGACCTGTCTAGCTTGGGGGTATTTTACAGCTTGTTTTTTGCACTGGCTTCCAGCTGGTTCAGTTCCCTAATCTGTATGGCTGTGTGGGCTGCAGGCGTGTGGGGATAGCGCTGGCAGCAGAGGCAAGAGCAGCATTACCTCTTTCAACAGCCAAGCTGGTTGCACTTGGGCCACTTGAAAGGCACTGTGTCCCCAAACCTGAGGAACAATGCTTAAATGTGCTGTGCGTTATTTCTACTGAGTGGCGTGTAGCTTTCTCTAAGAAATTACCTTTATGGAAGGGCTGTAGGATTTTCCGTTTGGGGTTTCTCATTAATTTTTGCCAGTTTGTATCTTCAGTAAATAAGGAAGATCCATTGCTATTGACTGTGCATGCTCTGTCTAGGCTCTGAATGTCCAGCTTCTCTCTGTTCTGGCCAGCTGTTGCTCAGCAAGTCAGCAAAGCTGTGAGGCAGTATTTCAGTGGAAAGACGTGGGCACTCCAAGGTGCTGCTTTATGGGATGCAGTACAGTGAATGAAAGGAGCTGGAGGTTGTGGTTACAGCAGAACACATTGCTGCTGTGACGCTGCAGCTTGCTGCCTTCAGCTGCTGCTGACTGCTCAGGATTTCATAAATGGGGATGTGTAGGCTGAAGCTGCTGGTGACCTTCAGACTAGGGAATACTTTCCCTCTTGAGCGATTCAGTCTACTCAAAAGTAAAGTGATGACACAGTGATGAATGTGGTGTATGAAAAAGGTAGAAATAAACAAACTAGACCAGTTTCTGGAGAGAGAAGGGGGGGGAAAAAAACCCCACAACTTGAACATGTAATAATCTCTGAAGCAGTCTTTAGGGGATACATTTGCTTGCATTATCCCCCCAATGTACAGGCAAAGCACACGCAGAATGGAGGGAATGACTAACCATCGTTACGGCTGGTAGGCACATGTTACTACTGTCAGATCAACCTAAGGAAGCAGAGCCAGAGCCATGTGCTTGAAAACAGGCTGAGATGTTCCTCCTGACGGGAGCAGGAAACGCACAGCTCCATCACCCTTCCTGCTCTTCTCAGATACAGGAAGTACAGCACAGAAAATAACATTTTTCAACTAAGTCTTTAGCTTTGCCTATGAGCCTCCATTTGCATACACCACTTGCTGTCTTAGATAAGTCCTTCCTAAAAGTCTTCAGCAGAGGACACCCTGGCTCTGCTAAACTCAAGGGGGAAGTTCTGCCCCTTGTTTAAGCTGTAGGTCATCTTGTTTTGATTGATCAGAACAAGAAAAAGGCTGGTGGCCTACCAAATCAGCAGGTAACCATGCTGCTGTTTACCTTGTTTGGGAACTGGAGCTAAACTATCCCATATGTGGCTAGAAATCAACCAGAAGAATTGTCTGAACCCATGGATTCATTGTCTGGGCTTGAGGAAAGAAATGTTATCTCTCAGCCTCAGTTCCCTTTGCATGAAATAACTTTGGTTTCCTGATTTCAAGGAATATGCTTCTACCTTTGGAAATATTCCTAAAGGTAAACTTTGTAGTAGCCAGCAAGAGCTACCCTGAACAGATCCAATGTTACTGATGGAATAACAGCTGAGAACAGCAGGGCCTGTAACTTTTCAGCTGTGTGCAAAGGGTTGTTTTTGGGGGGTGGGAGGGCTTTTGTACAAGGTTTGGTTTTAAATGGTTTCAGTGGTCTGGAAGCTCTGGTATGCAACCTTTCTCTTTTTTTTTTCTTTTTTTTTTTCCTGTAAAGACTTTACAAAACAACAGTATCGTGTGATTCTCACATGCTCCCAGAGCCTGAAATACTGGCTTTATTACAGGCAGATTTGTTAGTCAAGCAAATCTGATTTGTGACACGCTGTTCTCCTCTGATTCCCTGAGAAGCTTAACTGCAGCGATGGAAAAACAAATTGTGCTTGTACATTGCTATTCAGAAGGCTATAAAATCTTCATACAGAGGAGACGAGTTCCCGCTGTGTGACGCAGGCTTTCCCCAGAGGTTTGTGTTTGTTGATCTGGAACAAGCTTGTGCTGGGTTGCAGAGGGTTGAAAGAGCATCCTAAATATAAGCAACAGTTTGCTGGTAGAACAGGCCCTGTAAAAACAAGTCAGGCTCCAGCATTGCTGGAAAAGAAGACCTTTACCTAATTCCTGTACCTTTAAAGATACTGGTTGTGCTTGGACTTCTTACTTCTGCCCTGAGATGGGCACCATACAAGAAACTGCTCATTAAGGATAGCAGCTCGCGTGTGAATCATCTGCCTCAGCCAGCCGCGTGTCCTAGGCGCTCCAGATGCTGCCAGATGATGGAAGCATTTTTCTTTCCAGGTCAGCTTTGCGTTGCTGCTTTGGGAGTTGTGTGTGTCTCTGTTTCTGGCAGCCAGCTGTAACTGTTTCAGATCAATAATTTGTGGTGTTAGCTGCTTAATTCACTAGGCTTGCATGTATCCAGGGCTGTAACTTCTTTTGTCCGGTGAATGCAAGTGTAGATGGTTGTTTAAAGCTGTCCCCTGGGGCAGTGCTGTCTCCTCTAGCCTACAGCCCTTGCTCTTGTACCTTGAACTGGCCTCCTGGGCCATGGCACGGTGGCTCCTTTCCCAAGCATATTTTTCTGCATGTGAACTATTGCATAAACCTGATCCTTTGGGGCATGGTCTTGCTGTTCCCGTGACTGACTTCTGTATGAATTTCAGATCCAGATGTACCATTGTTCTGACTGCGGCCCTCTGAGTTGAAATCCAAAGCATTGCAAACTTCAGTTAACAGCACTTTTTTTTTTTCCGGGTGTAATTTCTGAAGTGCAGTCCGTCACTGTAAAACCAACATAATTCACTGCTTTCAGCAGTTGCACTGTTCTCTAGTTGTCTGTAGGATGAGCTGCCATACAACACCACGTATTGTGCAGCCTCTGACTCCGCGCAGTGCAGCGTTCATTATCCAGCTTACGTCAGGATGCACAAAGCGTTTGGTCTGACAGTGCATGGACACAGTTCTGTTTCTGGCAGCATTCACGCAAACATTGTAATTCCAGGTAGTGAAACAGCCTTAGAGAAGAAAACTGTTATGAAGAAAAGATGGTCTTGCTGAAAGGGGTCTTGAGTATTACAGTATTTACTAGATGACAGAAATTTTGCAGAAGCAATCCCCGAAGCTGGCTGAAGAACCTCATTTGTCTTGTGTGTTTCTTCTCCCCCATGTGCCTCTCTTTTTCCAGATAATAGTAGACGATGACGACAGTAAAGTCTGGTCTCTGTATGATGCAGGACCTAGGAGCATTCGGTGCCCGCTCATCTTCCTCCCTCCTGTAAGTGGAACTGCAGATGTGTTTTTCCAGCAAATTCTGGCGCTGACTGGATGGGGCTACAGAGTTATCGCTGTGAGTATTCTCAGTCCTGCCTCAAAGTTAGCATACTTGCGCTTGTTGCTCTAATCAGAGGGTGGGTAATGAAGATGAACTTCTTAGTGGTGACTAAGGAGAATCCACAAAAAACTCACTTCAAAGTTGTACTCTGGAGTATGTAGTGTGCAGAACCAGGCTGAAATCTGATGTGCGTTTATGGCAGTGTTTACCCCAAGTCCTGTGCATGTACGTTATTAACTTCTCAGTCTGTTTTTTCCCTTGTGTGCTCTGGACAGCAGAAATAGTTCAGGGTTTCCATGTAGGGATGGTGGATAACCTGGTTCTTAGCCTGCATAGCTGCAAGTGCTAAGTCACTCCTTAAAATCCTAGCAGCATGCTTGTTTGTAGCTTCTCGGTGCCTGAGCTGAACCGAAACGATTGATTTGGACAATAGTATTTGTGCTAAGCGGTATGGCTTTAGGAGTGCTGCTCTATCTCTTGCAGTAGTTAATGATTTCTGTACCTGCCAATTTTAAGTCCTACAAAATTGCTGAAGAATCATTCCAGCCTCTCCTCCCACTGACAGAATGAAGCAATGCTGCGCTTTCCCCAACAAACTTGCTCTGCGGTACTTTCAGTTGTTGTGTTTTTGTGCAAGCGAGGGGGAGCTGTTCATGCTCTGGCTGTAGGGACGTTGCTGAGGAGCTTGAGCCCTGTGATACAGGAGAGGCAGGCTGCTATCTTGAAACCTTTAATGTGAGAATTGGGATGACTTTCAAGCAGACGGCTGACAGGTACTGATCAGAGACTGGCTTTTCCCAACTTCATATTGTTTTAGTTGCAGTATCCGGTGTACTGGGATCACCTTGAGTTCTGTGATGGATTCAGAAAACTGTTAGACCACCTTCAGCTGGATAAAGTGAGTGCTCAGAGACGGGAAATGGATGTAGAGTTGCAGTAAAAACCTAATGTTTGAAAGTCTCGTTCAAGAGCAAGCATATAAAATATGACACAAAAAAGTAGCCTATAAATAAAGAGGCTGTGTTGCAATTTTACTTTTGAAACAAGTTTTTCTTTTTGAAGGTGAATACCCTAAAAAACGTCATACTTGGCCTAAACTCAACTGCTGTTCTAGGCCTATTAAATTGTATCGGTTAACTTCAGGATCTCATGAATCTCTGCTTCCACAGGATCTCATGAAAAACTAGGTACAGAATACCACAATAAAGTGTCTTGGATTGGAATAGCTATTGAAGACAATGTAAAATCTTCACTTTTTTTCTTAACCTTCATGAGCAAACAGGAATTTGAACTGTGATCTGGAACACTTCCCTGTTTCAGTATTTATCACATTTATATTGCATATAAAACTGGAAGGTGAATAGAAGAGTTTGATTCTTTTAAAAAATGGGTTATGAGGACAGGGTAGAACTTGAATGACTTATTTTTGTAACAAAATATTGTGCTTAAAGGTCACTTATTTCACAAGTGTGACCTCATTGTGTTTTTTTTTTCTTTGAATTAGGTTCACCTTTTTGGAGCTTCTCTGGGAGGCTTTCTGGCTCAAAAATTTGCTGAATACACACACAAATCTCCCAGAGTTCAGTCCCTCATCCTATGCAATGCCTTTAGTGACACTTCTATCTTCAATCAGACATGGACAGCAAACAGGTAAGGAAGACTGAGATGAGCGATCAGATGCACAGCATTTATTTTGTTTCAATGACCTGTCACGCTGACCTGGCTGAACATGTCTGATGTGTTTCCAGCCTGGGTAAGGGAGGCACAGAATGGAATACTCGTGGCTTTTAAAGCCATGCCACAAGGAAAATGGGGATTTTCACAATTGGGAGTGTGGAATTTGACAGATGAGTCTGTGATCCTCTGCGGATGCAGGGCCAGATTTAAGAACTCTTGCCTGTTTCCTAGCAAAACCGTTTAGAGTCAGAAAACTTACTCGCCATGTTTAAAATATGCTCTTGCAGTGTAAGACTAACAACTTCCCAGAGCATTTTGAGCACCTAGCTGTGAGGTTTTCCATCTCTGTGCTCTTGAAGCTTCTTCAGGATTTCGCGTGAAGTCAAAGCACAAAGTCTGTGCAAGGAAAGGGCGCACTTACAACAAAGCATCTTAGTGTTGGAGTCCTGGGTGCTTGAAGGTTGTTACATCTTGTTTCTCTTTTAGCTTTTGGCTGATGCCTGCTTTTATGCTGAAAAAAATTGTCCTTGGGAACTTTGCATCTGGTCCTCTAGATCCTGAAATGGCCGACGGGATTGATTTCATGGTGGACAGGGTAGGTAGCCATGTGCTCTGATGGCTGTGATGCCAATCTCTGTGGAAGATTTACTTAGCAGGAGGTTGGAGGTATTTCTGCTGCTTTCTCCATTTACTTACCCAGAAGGGAGGATTAAGGAATGGATCCTTAGCAGGTGTTGACTTCACAGCCCTGGCAATTTAACTGATGCTGTGACCTTGGTCCTGTTTGTTTATGAAGAGTAGTAGTGAAGAAACTAAGGAGGAAGAGGAGAAAGTGCTGGGGTACATCTGTAGCCCGCAGGAGCAACTAATGGAAGGTGTTTTGAGCATTTGTCTCCTGCAGAGAGATGCTAAGTTAGAGCTGTAATCTTCAGCTGAAGTGCAGTCATGTTTCCCTTTAAAACTAACTTCTCTCTGGCTGTATTGTTAATATTGCATTAACTTCCTGCAGTGAAATATGTTGTTAATCAGCATTTCTCTCTACTGAAAGCTGGAGAGTCTGGGCCAGAGCGAGCTCGCTTCAAGACTTACTCTCAACTGCCAGAACTCCTACGTAGAACCTCATAAAATTCGAGACATCCCTGTAACCATTATGGATGTAAGTTAACCTCAAAGTAATAACTTTTTCTTTTTAACCACTGTTTCCTGCCCTTGGCAGGTGAGGCCTGGATATTCTGTTAGCAACTCAATAAATATTTGCAGCATCTAACTTCATATTTAGATAAGCCTTCTACTGATGGGGCAACACCGTGGCTCTTCTGTGTTAAATCATGAACTGGATATTCTGTGCCATCACACAGACATGCTTACGTGTCACAGCGTTACCTTCTTCGCTGTCAATGCCTAACCTCTTTGCTTGTTTTATGTTTCATTAATGCTGTTCTGCAGAGAAGCTGAGAATTGCTTCTAGGAGCAGTGTGTATCCAAGTCTGATTGAATAAGCAGAATCTGATTCAGACCTAACTGCTGTGACTTGTTATGTAGGTGTTTGACCAAAGCGCACTTTCGACTGAAGCAAAAGAAGAAATGTATAAGCTTTATCCCAATGCCAGAAGAGCTCATCTCAAAACAGGCGGCAACTTCCCGTATCTGTGCAGGAGTGCTGAGGTCAACCTATACATTCAAGTGAGTCTCTGTGTTCCAACCCAATGCGTGCAGCTGAAACAGCAGTAGGAGCCTCCTTTTCTGCGCTTGCTCTTGTTTCTTAACCTGACTGAGCTCTGCGCTGGCTCCCAGATCACTGATACCGAACAGCAGGGCTGGGCGCAGCCGCGTCCACGGAGGGCTGGATTGGGGGGGGGTTGTCTCTTGCCCATTTCCCCTCTCGTCTCTCTGAACTCCTGTACTCCAGAACCATGATTTCCTCTTCACAAAAATTACTCGGAAGCAATGTTTCTCTTTTACCAAAACCTTATGCTTCCACACCTGTTTTCAGCGTTGTTTTCCGTGTCCAACAGATCCATTTACTGCAGTTCCATGGTACCCGTTACGCAGCCATCGATCCCTCCATGGTCAGCGCGGAAGAGCTGGAAGTCCAAAAGATCAGTCTTCACACTAGCAATGACCAAGAAGAGCAGTAAGCTTTGGAGTGCTGGTGCAAATGAGGAATGGGTTGGTGGTCTTCCCGCGTACAATCAACTGTTCCCGCTCCACCTTTTCCCTTGCGTTAGCCGATTATCACTGTGTGATTCCAGCAGGATCAACAGTTGGTGAACTACCCACGGACAGTAGCCTCAGCAGGGTAACAGGATAGGTCTGTTTAATTTTTAGTCTTTGAATTCAAGGAAGCATCTTTGAAGACTACAGTTTTAAAAACAAAGACATTTTTGCTACCAAAGTCTTCGCTATCATGTTCTTTAGCGGAACAACATTTCTTTTTATATTTTTCGCTCGGCTGTATATATTGCCACATGCAGGTTGTGTACTTATAAGCTGACATATATTTTTGTTGAATATTTGGTTTAAAAGATGTTTAAGTGCCACTGTTGCCATCACTTATTTGCTTCGTTTGTTGTGTTGTAAGTTAGTTTCTATTTGAAAGGAAGGGTTTGAATTTTTAACTTGCTGTTTAAAATGGTTTTCAATAAAACTTTGATTTTGGCAAGCGTCTCTTGTTTTGACTACAAGAGAACAGCAGTGTGGCTTAGTGCAGTCCTGGGTTGCCTTTACAGATGTCTCCAGAAATTAATAAAACCGGCACCACCTGCTTGAATTCACCTCAAGCTTTAATTACAAGGTTGCGCTGGTTTTAGCTCTAAGTAAGAATTAAGTAGTAAGAATTAAGTATTTTTTTAATAAAGAATGGCTGAGACATAACTTGCAAATTTAAGGGTAAAATCTGGATTTATTGGAATACAGATGTTATTCTCCCCTTAAAACACTGTAAAAAATAAATAAGAAGTATTACATGACAAATTGGTATTTAAGAAAACCGCATGTCCCTGTCACAGGCTGTGTAGGTAACCAATAGCCGTTCTTACCTCACACTTCAAGCTGTAACCTAGGGATTAAAGCAGTTACCTATTTGATGTATAAATGGCACATGTAAATGTATATTTAGAAACAGTGTATGTTAATGTTCTTTGAAATTTTTTGTGACAAGTTGAAACATTAAGGATCGCAACCCTTAAGGTGCCAAAAGCACCACGGGGTAGCCTTGACTTTTCTTATTTCCCACCCTAGTAGAGAAGTTACGAACACATCTAAGATACAAGTGATAGGTGCTCCCCTGCCAAACAAAAAGGTAAGCAAAGAACGTTTCTGCAAACAAAGGCTTTCCCCTCAATAACTTAAAAAATTGACAATTAAAAATTTGTATATAAAAATGTGATGAGAACAAGATACAGTAAAATATTGTTGTGTTTCCCGATACAGCACAACAAGCGGGGCTTGCTTGCTGAACTCACAACAGTACCCAGACTGTATGCCATGGCTGATAAAAATCTCCCTTCGGTGCGAAGAGGCGTTTTAGACCGTTAGCATTTGCTGATACCCTCGTCATTTCAGAGCGAGAAGGAAGCAGCAGCAACACCAGCTTTTTATGACAAGAAGCCCTTAAGTTGCAGCTGCCTGTGGTTCGGTAGCAGAGCAAGAGTTTCACCTGTAGCTCTAAGACAAGCTGAGGACGTGTCAGTTGAAGGCACCACCGGTGCCCTCCCCCTGTTACATCGCTACGCACTTCCGTGGAGAGGCAGAGTCTGCATTGGCTTTTTTCCGAATGCTTTCTGTAAAAGAAAAGAGAACGTTTTGCTGTGCAGAAAGCATAAAGCTGGGGCAGGATGTGTGAATGTATCAAAGCAAAAGGAAGAGAAAAATGACACGTAATGGTAGCAAGGGGGCAGGGTGGCTCCCAGCTTGTGTGAATTGGCTTCACTGAAGTTTTTCTCTGCGTGTGATGCATAACCACAGAATTCAGGTAGTGCTGTGTGCCTTATTTGAAGGAAGATGGAAGTCTTACCTGCTAAATCTCTTCTTCCG